GAATGCCCAGGTAGTTGAAATGTTATTTTTAGATGTGGCTGTGAGAGTGTTTCTGGGTGAGATAAGCATTTGAATTGGTAGACTGAGTAAAGCAGATGCAGTCCCCAGTGTTGGTGGGCATGATCTAACTCATCAAGGGCCAGAATAAAACAAAGAAATGAAAGATGGTTGAATTAACTCTGCCTGGCTAAGTGTGCTGGAACATGGAACTCCAGTCCTGCAGCTTAGAGATGCCATATCATGGGCCTTCTCAGACTCTGAAGACGTAAGTCAATACTTCATAGGGAGTCTCTTTATGTACAGTGTGCATGCACACGTGTGCAGACCTGCTACTGATTCTGTTTAGCTTGGGAACTCTAGTAAAGCAAATGAGATTTTTGGCTTGAACCTAGCAAGATTTTTGGCTTGAATGTGTTTTCTTATTCACACCATTCATGATTTCTCATTCTCTAAGAAATGCTCCAAAGGAGATGATGAACGTGAGGCTAGTTCTAATTTCAGTGATTTATTAATTTTGTTATTTGTAACTTTTGGGAAAGAGTGAGAAATGATAGAAACCCCAAAATGAGAATTGTTTCAAGAAGGTTAATTGAAAAAGTTTACACAGATTAAAAAATAAATTTAATATACTAATAAATAAGTGAATACATTTTACTTTATAACATTTGTTATGAGCACTGAATTTATAGAGAACTGTTATGGACAACCAATGACAGGAACTAGAAGTAGCCTTAGCTGGGGGGGAATTGGCCCCCAAATTGGGTTAGGTACCCTTGGCACAGGTGAGAGAAAATTTGTGGAGAATGAAGATAAATGTCTCGTTTAAGCCCATGTCCCACTGCCCCTTTTTTGCAGGGATTGTTTTGCTGGATTTTTTTTGTTGTTGTTGCAGTTTTTTGGCCGGGGCTGGGTTTGGACCCCCCACCTCCAGCATATGGGGTCAGCACCCTACTCCTTTGAGCCACAGGCACTGCTCTGTTTTGCTAGATTTCTATAAAGGAGAGACTAATACCTTTTAATACTCTAAAGAAAGAATGGGGTCCATTTGTGTGGAGCAGAACAGAGTACAGGGAGTAAGAAATGCTATGATCATCCAGGTTCTTAAGTCTGTCAGTTAACAGGTATGTGCTCTTACTCTCTTATTCTAAGGTCCCAAGAGCAACCTAGTTTACATCTATTAGAATTAAAAACAACCCACTATAAGCAACATCTCCATTTAGGAAGAGAAGGATCTGTGAATTGTTACTCTCTCTATCCCTCTCTCTCCCTGTATACATAGTTACATATATAGATATTTGTGTGTGTATGTGTGTATACAAAGGGTGCCAAAAATATATACACATTTTATGAAAGGAAAACTGTATGAAATTCCTAATACCCAAGTCACATTTGACGTCTGCAATTATAAGAGATGCTCCATGTGATACAAATTCATTGTTTATTATATAAACAGTATATACTGAGTATTACAATTTTAGTAGTTTTCCCCCTTTCTTAACATGTGTATATTTTTTCTTGGCACCCTCTGTAATATACACACATAGACAAATTTCTGACAATTAAGTTCACAAACTCATCCTAGAAAAAGAGATACATACCTCATTTCTGGTTATCAGTATGGTCACTTTCATAGTACTCCCCTTGGGTGTCTTCCTTTCACTATTTTCTTTATCTTTGGGTAAAAAATATCACTGGGGCCCAGATCAGGGGAGTAGGGAGTATGTTCCAACACAGTTATTTGTACACTGGCTAAAAATTCCCTCACAAACAGTTTCATGTGAGCTGGTGCATTGTTGTGATGCAAGAGCCATGAGTTGTTGGCCAAGACTTTCAGTTAAGATTTTCCTGTTTCTCTATCAATGTTTACTTGGTCTGCTATGCTTCTCACAGGCAGCTGATGATTTTTATGCACAATTCAATGGATTTTTGCAATGTTTTGTCACTTCTTCTTGTTACTAGCCACCCTGATTTCTCTTCATCAGTGATGTTTTCTATTTTCTCAGAAAAAAATGTTTAATCCATTTGTAGATGGCTGTTTTCTTCATGGCATTATCCTTGTAAAGTTGGACTAACATGTCCCTGACTTCACTTCCACTCTTGCCAAATTTAATAAGAAATTTATGAATGTTTGTTCATTGCTTTAATTTAAACTCTGATAGTTTTGTGATGGCACACAAAAACATGTAACAACAATAATGAACAGCACTCAGCAAGACACCATCACACGTCACCACAAACACAGCTGTGAGACACTGATTTATCAACCAGGGTCATGAAATCTTACTGAGTTGTCTGTACAGTGCTGCCAACATAAGTGTATGGTGGCAAGTTCACTAATTGTCAGACCTTGTATACACATACATGTAAATTATACATATAACTTCCTACTTGGAAGCTTTCTATTTGGCTCTCCATTTTGACTTATGTTCGTTTTATCTCTGTTCTATAGCTGCCTCCTACTCAACTCCAAGAGAAAATGATCAAATACCTTCTTAGTACCAAAAATCACCAGTTCCACTCTTCATTTTCTTATCAGAGTTTTTATTGTTATACATATGAGGTACCATGCTACTATGAGAATTATACCCAGGGTTTTTTTTTTTTTAATTATTTTAAAAAACTCAGAGAAAAGAATGTTTCCAGTAATTTTCATTCAATGTGAATGACAAGAATATTATAGCTATAAACATTAAAATAACCATTTCATTTCTTCCTGAGGAAGTTTTATACTTTAAGTAATGAAAAAGGGAATTCTGTACAAAGCTAGTTTTAAATCACATTACCTCTTATGCTTTTCTCACGTGTATTTATGCTACTTTCAGAATAGCATAGTAACCAGCCAGAGGATGGAACCTGGAAAGTGTGCATGTCCTCTAGAGTTTGACGCTATCTTCGAGACCCATCAAGTGGTCAAAAATCCTTTCACAGATTTGCTGCCCTAGGTAGCATGTCAGCATGAACTTTTGAGTGAATAAATTTGGTGTTATCTATTCCTTTTTCTCCCTTGTTCATACAATTATCTAATATGTTTTTGACATTTATTTTAAAGGGTGAGCTGTTCAGTCAGCTCACTTCTCCTAGACAAAATTATGCCATTAGCAGCTTTTCTTAGAAGTTCAAATGTACATCTTATCATTAAACATAAATATAGCAGTTTTCCTTTTTTAAAATCAGCATAAATGTGTTGCCAATGGAAATATGACACTGCATGTAACTGCTGGAGCCTCTTCTCCCTATGTCTGAATTCTTAACCCAGGTTTCCAAAATTAGTGGGGGTGAAAGATGATGATAATTTTCCCTCATGCTTGTCATGTGTGGAAGTGTGTGCACTGAGTTTACCAAATCTGTCCAAGTGGCTTTAAATTTTTTTACAGTCAGGGGTCTTAAAAGGGGGTTCTTTTTTCCAATTTTTTCTGCTCATATTGTCATTTGTTCAAAAATTAGCATATTAGTGTACATAAAACTTAGAAAGAATGTTTACTTAGTAATTATAAATGTGCATTAAAGATTTTATAGTAAGTGGAAGGATGTCAAATTTGTTTTCTAATTAGTGAGTAATTGATAGTTTAGTTTTATACGTTGTAATGACAATGAAAATATTTTTGCTAGAGATTTTCTTTGTGTATCTTGTTTTTCTAATCATACCTGTGATAACATTTATAAAGGCTTATGATCATAGCTTGGAATATTTACTACTTAAATTCTAGGCATAAGTACAGTACATTTGAAAATTAAGTAAACCTCAACAGGAAAATAAGTATACTTTATCCTTATTTCCTTTTTGATTATTTTAGTAGTCATGTATATCATTTAAAACTTAAGTGTAAATATAGTATAAGAACCATGCTTTGCTCACCTTTGTACTTTGTGCATTTAATTAGCAGGTACTCCATAACATTAAATATGTTCTGTTCTCTTCCACCAGAGTGATGTGTGAAATATTTTTAAAAATACTTAAGTGCTCTCCCTTTTATCAAAAGTATCATTGTAAATACTGGATTATAAATCATATATTAATTTGTTTTTATTACAAATCTCTACCTACACTACATCATTTATTTTGAACTATCTGGAAAAATGTAGTTTCTTAATAATTTAAATGTAAATAGCCTAAACACATCATCTAGGGAAACTGTCCTTAGTTTTTACTTAATAGATTTTGCTCTAGGGGACATTAAAAGAAAGCTATTCACATTTAAGTCAGTCTGTTTCTGGAGATGACACATACCTTAGATTCTATGCATGCATTTATGTAGAACTAGTGAGGACTACTGCAAGAGATTTGTAGCTGACAGCAGGTGGACATACAGTTTTCATGATGTATTTTCAGACCCCCTACAATTTCTCCCTTTTAGAGAATTTAGTCAGTACATTTTCTATTATTATTTACTCTTTTGGCATGTTCAATGTGTTTCTATTTACCATTCAACATTTTTACAATATATATTTCAGTGTAACAGTTACATTATAATGGAGGAGTTAGTAATGTTTACATATATGCACTAGATTGTATGAAAAAAAATCACTTTTTTGCTATAGCACTACCATTTTTGTTGATGCAGATAAAACTCATATACTATAAGTTTTCTAATCCCTGATCTAGCACAAATTGTAGTTTACAATAATTTCTAAATGCTTCAATGGATTTGAAATTTGGCAAGCATTTTTCATGAATATTATGCTTTTGACATTTTATGCTACATTATGATGTTTATTTTTGCCTTTTGTTTTGTAGGACACTTCATAGAATCAATTAAGAAAACATTGTACAGGCCAACAGTGGGCTAGAAATCTATAGTGACACAATCTTAGTTTATATATAAAAGTGTAAATATTATTATGAAATGGAACACTTCTGCATTTGTGCTGGGAATTTACGTTGTTTGCTATCAACTTCCACATCCATGCACAATAGTCTACAGTCATCCCACAGGCTCAGATCCGGGTGAGGAAAAAGACCATAGGCCTCAAGGCTTGTAATGGATACTTTTTCTTTTTTCCTAATCACCCACATTCCAGCACATGGAAGGAACTTTGATCTCTTTTCTCATTTGAAGAGGTATATTTTTCCAACAGCCTTTTGGTAGCTTCTGGAAGCTTCTGGTAGCTTCCCTGGAAGTTTTACAGGGACAGTGAAGCCGCAAGAAGTTTTCTCTGAGTGCTATCTCACTTTCTGTAGCTCCTGTCTCAGCCAGGAGGGCAGAGGCTGCCCCAGCTTGTGCAGCAGCTTGGAGAGTTCCACGTTGTGGTCTCGGTAGTAGCTTGACAGAAATGCTCTGCTCTGGGGGGGAGGAGGACATGAAAGGACTTTTTACTCTGCTTATTAAAGTCTAGTTCATATACTTTGACCAAGTTTAAGTATCAAATACAGCATATCTGGATTAACATTTATCATACACGCGGACTATTTATTTTGCTGATGGTCTCAAGGAAGGAGATGGCACGTTCCTGTATTGGGAAGAGCTGAGCTATGAGGTGACAGCACTGCCTCGTCTGCTCAGCTGACACGTTTATTCCCATTACCTCTGTGGAGGTCCTTTACTCTTGCCTTCTTTCTAGACACTATTTGTGCAAAATCAGCCACTTTACTCCTGCAGATAAACCCAAGACATATGACACAATAACCTTGTTAAGAGACCTAGCATTGATATTCTGAAAAGTTGTGTTTTTCTTATTCTTTCTCTACCACCAGGTTTAGTATTCTGTTAGACCAGGGTAAATGAAAAAGCTACAGAAGATGTGCCTCACTGTCCTGTAAACATTTTAGCTTTAGTAAATATATAAGGAAATAGCCTTTATAGAAATGAAATTGATATATTTTATATTGCCTTCTTGAAATACTACAGAAATTATAGTTTCCTTTAATGTGTTAGGATTGTTTTCATAGTTCTCTGAAGGTATATTTTAATAATCAAGCAACAAAAACTGGAGTTCTGAGAGTGCAATTTATCAAAACAACAGAGCCCTTTCTTCCAAGCCATCTATATACAATTTAATTATGGGCTTATTGAGGTCAAGTTCTGTCTCTATCAGGCTGGGCACAAAAAAAAGTTTTTCAAAGTCTTGTTAGATAAAAAATAGTCAAATATGTTCTGCTCACCTTAGGATTCTCAGTTAACCCAGGGCATTAAACATTGGGAAAAAAATCCCAAATAATATTTTTAATTTTGGGGATTTAAAAAGTTTATAAATCATAATCCACCTACATTCTTATATCCAAACTATATACTAAATAGACTGATTATGAAATAAAAATATTATTAATAAATCATAATAAGTGTGAAATAAGCATTAAAAAGTAAAAATATAGGGTTGAGAAGCAAATCATCTGAACAAAACAAATAGGGGTTGCTAAATACATACCGTAAAGAGCGAATGTCTGCTTCCCCAAAGCCTAAATTATCTGCTAGTTTGGGAAATATATTAATATTATTATCCACTTACTACACTTACTACTACACTTACTACTACAGAGTGACTTATGCAGTGAAACAAAATAAAAATCTTTTTTGGTGTTATTTATTTTTACTTTCCAATTGATATATTTCCCTCTCTTGGTTCAGTTAATGTTTATGCTAAAATGTCTGTGTAAGTATCATTCTATCTGGAATGAGATGTTCTCTTTTCATTCTTGTTCAAAATGTCAAATTCAATTGTTTTACTTCATTCTTCTATGATAGGAAATGATATATCATTGGAAAAATCAAAACAAGCCGTCTCCGTGTACTAAAATCTGAATGTTGTTTTGAATTTTGACGTTAGGCTGAATTTTGACTTTCACTAGTTTTCTAAAAAAGCATCTATGATAACTTTTTTTTCTTAAATCATTTTGCTTATTAGTTTGTCTTCTTCAGCTTTGTACTTACATCAGAATCCATAGGGGGGTATTTTCTTCCTTTGCTCTTCCCAAGGCATTTTGTTTTACCTTCTTCTAGTAACTGACACCAGAAACCTTTATGAGAATCAAACCTAGAAAAATAAAACAATACAACCCCTCCACATTATTTTCTAAGCAATTTATAAGAAGATAGAATAACCAACATATAAATATTTTCATTTGGATATCGAGTTATAACCAGAGGAACTATTTCATTTTTTTTTTTAAAACCACATTCTTTTGCATAAAGCCTTCGGCATCCTTCTGAATTCTCAGTCCATCTGTCATTTTTGTGAGTTTGCCCCATGCCTAATGCAAAAATTGTCAGAAGTCCTCCTATTAATAGAAATTAATAGAACTACCTCCTTCATCTGGAAGGGAAAAAATTATGTTTCAAGCCCACTCTTTTCCTTTGTTGGGTTTAAAATGACAAATCAACCTTCATCTATGTCTGTGGATTTAGATGGTATTTGTATCTTACAATCTATGGTATAATACTATCAATACATAGAAGAAAAAGAGTTTTGGAGTGCCATGGAGTGATTACTGTCAGGATTTTATAGCTCTAATCTATTTAAATGTTCTTGTAGAGTTACTGTATTTTGCCATGTATAATGCACACTTTTTGCCCAAATTTTTGAGGGAAAAATAAGGATGCATATTGTATATGGATAATACTGTGTGGGAGTGGGAGAGCCCAGCAGGGCACATGGGGGTCCACTTCTGGAGGATCTGTACTGGGAAGAAGGGGTCAGAGTGACCTGTGCCCAGCGCAGTGATCAGGAGAGGAGGTGGTAGTGGGGCCGGCAAGGTGGCAAGCTGATGTGCAGAACTGGGGTAGAGGCCTGAGCCCTCACCACGTGGAGAGGACTGGGACCCTCACACAGGCCCCAAGAACCCCCATGCAGGCCCCAGAGAGCCATCTGGCTGCCCATTGAACAGTGGCCTCAGAAGATTTCACCCTACTGGCCAAACATGTGGCCATCTCACCACAGCCCTCAACATGGCGGGAGAGAAGGAAGGGGCACCTTCACAGAGCAGGCAGCTGTGGGAAGGCAGTGAAATCTGCACATTCACTAGGGTAGTGTTAGCCCTCCTCAGATGTGTCTTTCTTGACTGAGAGTTGGCCAGTTTCTTGAAAGGGGTGGTTTCCTGAAAGTTTGGGCCAAAAATGTGTGTGCACATTATACACGGGAGTACATTTGATCCAGGAAAATATGATACTTTCTTCTTTTGGAATGAGCTTGTAACACCACTTATAATGGGATTTTCATGCCATAATTATAATAAAATAATACTAGCATGTCAAATTTATGTTTTAGTTTACCAGAATATTTCACATAACTGTCGTTTGAGTTTTCATTATAACCCCTTAAGGATACCATATGTAAGATCCTTCCCATTTTATAGTACTTAGCATAGTGTTTGCCTGTTGTAAACATTTATCAAATATTAGTAGAACCAAAAATGAAAAAGAACAAAATTTTAACCCTTTTTAATATTTTGCTTAAAATTATAATGTGAAAACATGAAATACTTAGGAATAAATTTGACAAAAAATATATGCAGGTATGCATACTGAAAACTATACAACATTGTTTAGAGAAATTACAGAAGACTTAACCAAAAATGGGGTGATATTATGTTCACAAATCAAAAGACTAAATATTTAAAAAAACTTAACCCTTTAAATTTATCTGTTGATTGATTCAGAATGATTCCAATCAAAACTCCAGTGAACTCTTTTTTTAGGAATCACTAAAAATGATTGGAAAATGTATATGGAAAATTAAAGGACCCAGAGAAACTAAAACAATTTGAAAACAAAGAGCAGAGTTGGAAATCTTATCTTATTTAATTTCAAGATTTTCTGTAATGCTACAGTAGTCAAGGCAATGTGGCATCAGCATCAATGGATCAATGGAACAAAGATCCGTTGATCTGTATGAGTCCAGAAATAAATCTACACATCTATGGTCAACTGACTATCAAAAATTAAGTGACAGTACCTGGTGGTATAGTGGTTAGGATTCAGTGCCTTCCCCCCAAATAGAAAAGGATTAGTCTTTCATACAAATTGCATTAGAAAAATTGAATATCTACATGGAAAAAGTGAAGACTGAATCTTACCTCACAGTGTATATTAAAATTAACTTGAAATGGATTATTGAACTAAGTATAAATGGTAAAACTATAAATATTCTGGAAGAAAACATAGGGAAAAACTCATTGAAAATTTTTGTAACCTTGAGTTAGGCAATGATTTCTTAGAATAAATTAATTGTAAAAAAAAAAATGATAATTTAGAATTCATCAAAATTTAAAATTTTGCCCTTCTAAAGGCACTTAAGAAGATGAAAACAGAAACCATAGAATGGGAGAAAATATTTGTAAAACATATTTCTAATAAAGGACTTCTATTTAGAATATATAACTCAGTTTAATGTAAAGATAATAATACCAATAAATAAAGAAAGCTGGGCCTATACATGTGTCACTATGCCCAGCTAATTAAAAAAATATTTTTTTTAGAGATAGTACCCAGACTTGTCTTGAACTCCTAGCCTCAAGCGAACTCCTTGGTCTCGCAAAGTGCTGGGATTATAGGCCTGAGCTACTGTACCTGACCTGATTTTTCTCAGAAACCCTGTCCATCTTTTCCTCACTCCTGCTAATTAAATGTGTGTATGTGTGACTGACGCCTAGCCTAGGCAGCTGTATGTATAAGTGTATAGACGGTGGTGTAAGCGTATCAGGGTAGGAATGAGAAGGAGAGGACAGTAGAAGGGAAAGCATGTCTATTTTTGTGTTGGCCCAATGGACTGTGTCTGGTTCTCCTTAGAGAACAGTTATAAATTGTAGATACAGATGGCTGCTCATGAAAGACCTTCTGAGTCTGGGACACTGGCAGTACTATTTTAGAGCTCACATGAAGAAGTCTGACAGAAGACGGAGAAAGACCCTCTCCACATCTGTTCTTCCTGTCCCTCTGAAGAACAGCCTCAGATGACTGGGGGACAGTGGAAACAAACACTGTCTGTGAGCACGGGCAGCCATGGTGGCAGCCAGCCCCGCCTTCCATGGCTTTCAGGAAGTGAACGTGCTCCAGGAAGTGTTAGGTATTGTCTAGAGTCTCTCTCTTGGCTGATTGTCCTGGAGGTAAGGATACATTATTTATCATTGTGTCCCCAGAGTCCATGCACATAATAATTACTCAATAAAACTTTGTTGAATTAGAGAATAAAACAAGAGTGGACAAGAGTAGTTCTTAATCATGTGTGGAATATCACCTAGAGATATCTAAAAGTAACTGGAAAAGTTACTTTTGTAACTTTTGTAAATTTTGTTGTGGTTAGGGGCACCAAAATTCTCTGATGACTCAATCTCTAACCAGTAACCATTTCTATATTAAAGAAAATATGACCTTAATTCTATATTCTTGGGCATATGAATCCTCAGAGACGTTCAGATTACATTTAGAAAGTTAAGGTATGTCTCATTTTAAATTGAAAAACCATTTCCATGGAAGTCTACTGAATTGCAAATAGTGCAGATAAATTTCAAAATCAAAATACCATCATATAGTTGTTACTTAGCACAAACATGGGAGTTTATTAGTTCTGTCCTGACAAACACGCTTTAATGATATAATGAATTATTTTACTGATACATTTTTTATTTTTAACAACTTTTTTGGAGGTATAATTTACATATAGTAACATTCACTTATTGCTAAGTATACAATTCAATGATATTTAGCAAATTTATATGGCTGTACAATTATTACCACAATCCAGTTTTAGAGCCTTTCCACCATCCCCAGAGTGTTCTAGAGCCCATTGCAGTCAATCCTGCTGTCATCCTCAGTCCCCAGGCAAGCACTGATCTTCTTTTTGACTATATCTTTGTCTTTTCTGGACATATTATTATTTATTTCTTTTGCTGGCATGAATGTACCCAATTATTCCATTCCTCACCTGATAGACATTTACATTGCTTTTAGTTTTGAGAACCAGAAATAATCCAAATTATGAATGATGGTGCTATGAACATATACTCACAAGTTTTTATAGACTTAGGTTTTCATTTATCCTGGGGTAGATTCCTAGGCATAGAACTGGATTGTTGTGTAAGTTTCTGTTTAATTTTTAAGTAACTGCAAAACTGCTTTCCAAAGTGGCCATATATTATGCATTACCTCAGCTACATCTGAGGGTTCAAGTTTCTCCACCTTCTTGCCAACATTTGTTACTGTCTTTTGGATTATAGCCATTCTAAATGGTATGTAGTGGTATCTCGATGTAATTTTAATTTGCGTATCTCTATAAATACATATTTATTATGGAAAATGACATTCAGTACATCTCAAGATGTATTCTATTTATAATAAAGCGAGACAACTTACATAGTTCATTTTAAGGTGCTAGGTTTTTAAAGGAAGTACTTTAAATTATTATTTTGTAAAAACTAGCAGTATTGTTTTCCTTTGGTTCTAATATCTTGTGCCAATATGAAGAGCTTAACAGGTGGGCAGTGTCCATTGACATGATAACTGATCGCATTTCAATCCTGCCTCCTTACTTACTTGCTGACTGACTTTTGGCTAAATTTTCCTAATCCTCAGTTTTTTAATCTTAAAATTGGAGCTAATTGTACATATCACGTAATGCTTTCATGAAGTAATATATGTATGTGTACATATGTATATAAATAAATAAAATACTTAAAACATATAAATATATACAGAAGCTCTGTCAGTTGACCACCCAAGGGACTGTAACAAACTGGTCAACATACAGAGGTGGTCAACATAGAGGTGGATCTAATGTACTGATAAGTACCTGTGGTGCCTGTCTGGTCTGTGAAAATTGGGTCAACTTAAGGAAGTGGTCAATGTAGGACTTACTATAACTTAGTGTTGGAGATGATGATTTATGGAGGTTTTATTGTATTTATTTTGAAATGTTACAACTTAAAAATATTAATGACAAGAAGTTGGAGTGGACTCTTTTTCCCTTTTCACTACTTAGTATTTCCAGGTGTTCTTTGATAAGTCATCCAGAGAACCAACAGATTTTAGTCACTATGGCTACTATATTTTGTTTCATTTTTTTTAATATAGCAGAGTTTTACTCAAAAAAATTCCTGGCAATATAAATCTGGTTGTCAGGGAAGTGATATTAGAAACAATTGAAGTCCATTCAATAAAAAAAAAAAAAAAAGAAACAATTGAAGTCCTTTTGAATTTTGAAGCAGCTTTAGTCCTTTATGACTTAGTCAAGCCTCATCCACAAAATGAAACAAACCAGCAAAAATACTATATTCAGTCCCTGGGCTTCAAATTCTCATTACCCATTTATTGAAATTTTCAAAGGAAATTAAAAATTAATATAATACAACCTGATTTCATTCACCTTGATAAACAGATTATTAAGAAATAAAGATGCCTGGCTCAGGTATTTAACTAGTATATCTAAACATGAAGACCTCTGCCATGGTCATTGATGGCTAGATATAATTGTGAATATATATATATATATATATATGTTTGTGGCATAATTAAAAGCCTATATTTTCATTTTAGTCTATAAAAATTCATACATTTCCACGGTAAGCATTATTTATCTTGCTTTATCTTAAATGATAGCTTCAAAACTATATAACACAACGCATGACATGAAATCTAAAGTAATGTCAGTATAATTGAGTTTACAACTTAGGGTTTTAACGTTATGTTGAATAAAAGTAAAATGCTAGCTTACTTGACTGAATAAAAAAGTTCCCATTTATATTGTTTTGAGCTTATATTGCTTATTTCGGTCATATCTATAATCACAGAGAAAATAAAATTGTTTTTTAAATTTCAGATTAATATGAGGGCACAAATGATTAGGTTACATTGTTTGCATTTTCAGGTAAGGTCTCTGTTGTAGTTGTGTCCTGCACCCAAGAGGTGTGTCATATACCCTTACATAGTTCCCATGAAGTTGAAACAGACTGATCCTCCTCCTTCTTTCCCTGTCCCTGCTCCTTAGAATCAGATTTTTAAAACCCATGATGACAATACTAAGTTATAGTAAGACATACCACAAAACATAGATTATCCAGTGGAAGTCTCGAACACTTTCTTTCGTGACTGTGGAAAGGAATAAATGATACTCTTGACAATGGAAGCCTATTGCCATTCTTCTGGAAAATAGTGTGATAATGGACTTTTCTATATTGAAGATAATAAGTTCAGAGACCTCTGAAATTGGAGTACTCTTTCATGCCACGATTGCATAGGAAAACCTTGCATGGACCTTGTTTCAGTCATTTATTTTACTTTGTGCACAGCAATGAATTTATGTGGTTAGCTGAGAATTCATATTGGTTTGCAATTTAGTATGTCCTCAGAGTACTTTAAATGAAAAACCCTTTTTTAAGCACCAAAGAAATAGTCCTTACTATCACTAGCAGGAAAATAAGGAGTAATAACCAAGTATCCAAAGGCTCTTCTGCCAACTGGTGTCCATGGCACTTCTGAGAATACACTTGTACCTCTAATCATCTTCAATATTTCCAAAGCACCACAGAAAATATAGTCACTAAATTGTAGGGGAGGATTCACATAAATAATTGCAAAGGGCATGGGGTGAAGGCAGATTGATTTAGATCTAAGACAATGACATGAAACTTCTAAATATCCTACAAGTGCACTGTTAGCTTTTACAAGGTGTGCCAGGCCAACTGATGATTGACAAGAAAATGCGAAAAGAAACAGAATGGAAGTACATTATCTCTGTCGGCACAGTGAGAGGCTGGGGAGCCCTGCTGGACCAGAAAGTGTGATTTTTATAGATACCTTACCTTGCTACTTCACCCACTGAACCCCCAACCAGGTTAGAGAATCATATAATGGGAAATTTTAGCTAGATAGATCCTGGGTGCAAAGTGACCCACAGCTCTTTGTATGTAGTCTGTTGCTTTGATAGTCTCCTAAGTGTATACCACCTTTTCTCAGCGGTGGAGACGAATAAAAAGTTTGCTGCTGAGCTGGACGCAGAGGGGACAAATACACAGTACGCAGGTCAAGGACCATGCCATAAAAAAGAGATTATGTCTTTATGGAATACTGTACTTCTTTTTTTCTGAAATACAATGCTTTGCTTTATCCTCGAAAAAAAGACCTAAAGAAGTAGAAAACTGTTTAGAAAATAAAAGCTTTCCTTTCTCAGAGATACTTAAAAAGAAACGAAACAGAAAGTAGACCTGAATTTCTAACTACAAACTAAAATCATTCAGCTTTCTTGAAGGTTAAGACGAATGTTAAATACCTAAGGCTAGAGTGTCTGTGTTAGTACTTGAACTGAGCTCTCCAAACTCTGAAAGTCCTCAGTATGAAAAACACGGAGCTGAGAAGGTTAATAGTAACGGCAAAATAAGTGACTCTCAGGAAGGAAGCTCAAAACTGCAGACTGTCACCACTGCTTTGTCCTCTCAACCAAAGTGTCCCCCTTATGTGTCTCTACATACGATTTGTACAAGATACAAGCAGTTTTTGATGTTTTTCTGCCAGTCTTTACTGCAAGGGATGCTGAAAGGTAAAGGAAACCTGCCTCTCACTTTCTAAATGATACAGGATAAAGAGGGCGATAAAAAGGGAAAGCCAGTTATCTGTGGAACTCCGTCTTATACTGAAAAAATACAATGGAGAATTCCATAATGCAGTCTTTTTCAGTTTCTTTAAGGCTCAGTTCACAGCCGAAGATTACAAAAAAAAATTTTTTTTTTTATAATGAGAGTCAGATCCATGGTCCATGCAGCTCAGGGTCTTCCAGTTGTTCCAGGAATACACACAGCCCGCATAAATCTGGCTGCCAACCATTATACATGGAGTAAGAGGGAGATCTCATTTAAAAATACTAAATAAAGTCTAGAGGCAGAAGTAGGGTGAGGTAAGAGAGTCATCACTGCCAGGCATATGCACAGCCCTGAGGGCAGGTGCCTCCTTGGGTCCCAGCGTCTCTCTGGCCCTCTCTACTAGTCCCAGCTTTACTGTGGTCAATGGTCTCTGAAAATCAGAGGGAACCAACCAAGCCAGCCAGTGCTGTCACTGCTGAGGGCTCTGAAGAAGAGGTGACAAGGTAGATTTATAGTGAGCAAAGACCAGCAGAAACGGGAAGCATGTTTAAGAGGAAGTGTATCTCTGTCTACTCAGCCAGCTATTGGGCTATTTGATGCTGTATGACATTGTTTCTGAAAATTGAAAAAGCTGAGAAGAGTTCCTAAACTCCCTAGTTAATCACCTGTTCATATTTCTAAGAGGCCCCAACATTGACTAGGCTTCGCCCTCAATAGGCTTAGTTCTTACCAAATTATTTCAAGCAGCCCCTTCGAAGATTAGTTGTTAAAGATGTACAACTATTTTGTTTCCCAATTTCCTTTCTGAGAAAATCTTTGCATAATTATTATTTTTTCATTATTTAGTGTTCTTACATCTTTGCACAATTAGGAATCAATGAAGAATTTAGGCCAGTTCTCTGGCACATTGTTGAAATGTTTTTTTCCTAAGTGGTGAATGCCAAACCAAAAAAATAATCAGTAGATGAAGAACAGCTAACCTGAAATTTGCATTACCAAACTACAATTTCTCTAAAATAAGTTCTCTCTTGAAATTTCAAAAACTAATTAGAACGCAAACTTACGTTAAAGCTTCCGAGTAATTATAATGAGGAGAGACTCCTAGAAACTTCTGGACTTCATCCATCACGGTAGCAGGATCAGTTCTCAGCTGTTGCCCATCTATAATCAGCAACTAAATTACCAAAGAAACAAACAAACAAACCAGTGCACATTGAAAAAGATACATTAACAATATAATGAAAAATTTTTGTATTCTGAACTTATTCAACGACAGACGCTGTCCTGAGGGGATTTGCATGCACTGCTAGACATAACCAGGTCATCCTCATTAACGACCCGGAATAAGAAATAAATCGTGACAACTGAGTCCGCTCAGACTTAATGTGTTGTAATCTAAGAAGTCTTTAAACACTATGAGACAAAAATGGCAGTTGAGGAGATCAAGAAAGCTTAGAAATGTGACGCAAGATCACATAGGGAAACCGAGTTTAGAAACAAAGCCACGACTGCATCATTAAAGTAGAAAAGAAGAAACGTTATAAGAAGTGTAGGTCTCATCATCAGAAGGCATGTCATTCGTCACAATTTGATTCAGGAGCAGCACTGTCAAGTTTAAGGCAATACTTTGATAATCCATATGGAGAAGAAGATAAAGACTGCCGGAGCGACCGAAGGTGAATGGAATTGCTCAAGAAGCGGAGGAAAGGAGTCTGCTAGTTACCCGGGTGAGAGGGGGCTTAGCAAGCTGACCTGACAGAGCATGACCCAGGCGCAGAGCCTGCCGCGCAGACCTCCTGCCGCGCCTCCTCGCCCATATTTCTATTTAGTCTATCAGCACATCCAGGAGGACCTTCTGTGATAATGGACATGCTCTAAAGCTGCCAGTCTAACGTGCAGCTACTGAGCATTGAAAATGTGGCTCCTGCAATTGAGGAACTGAATTTTCAACTTTATTTAATGTTAATATTATTTGAAATAGCCAAACGTGGCAGTGGTTATCATAGGGGAGAGCACGGTTTCAGACGCACACCTACAGCCCGTCTGCTGTCCCTGGATTACAGAAGCAACCCGGAGTAGGGGTTGATGTTGTAATCTAGGTCGATGCTAGGAAGAGAAAGAACCAAAAGAACTGGCAAAAATGTAGGACCTACAAAAAATTCAACAAGGTGGTTCGAAAGGGAAATAATGGTACTTAATTAAGCAAAACAACATTCATCTTGTTTGGGTTAAGAGGTTCTCTTTCAAGCTTTACGCATCTCAGAATAAAAATCTGCGATTTAAAGCTTTTGAAGCTCTTTATAATCAGGGAAGGTATGCTCTAGAAAATAGAGCAGGGAGAATCATCCTCAAATACTCTCAGAAAGAAAATTACACATTTTTTTCTACCTTTGTCTGTTTATTTTTCTTTGCCACAGTCTCATTATTTACAACTAACGGGGTACAAGCTAGTCATGTCTTAACGAGTAAAAATGTTCACTATCCTCGAGGCCAAGTCATCACCTTACTGAGACGGATGTAAATTATTTTTGCTGCATACCTGAAAGGGGGGAAAATAAACAAGCCACCTCTCGATGTGGCTGGCGTACCAGCCGGGAACCAAACATCTCTTCTGCAAGGCTCTGAGCTCCGGAGGTGCGTGGGGCCCGGCCGAGATCACTTCGTAGAAGGTAAACTTTAGAGCTGCCGGGTCTTCGTGTGATCGCTGATGCTATGATGAAAAGGTGGATAATTAAACTACTCTGAACCATAGGCATCCATAATTAAAACTCAATCTTGGCGACATGTCTCAAAGCTAAGGAAAAGCCTGCCTCATTGCTGAAGAGTTATTTACTTTGAAATTAATAAAGGATGAACATGTTTGCTTGGATCATCAGCATTTAACGTTATGACCCTGATGAGAGTAAACTTCTGAAAACGTATTTGGTAGAGGTTGAATTCCTATGGATAGGATTCCTTAGCCAACTTTACTGAGTTGTTTCCTCAGTGTATGTATTTTATCCTGAAGATAAACTTTTGAAAGGTACCTTAATGTCCCCTTTTCGGCTCATAAGCTAACCATTTATCATTTCCGGTGAATAGCCATAATTCTCACGCACACTACGAGCTCTGCCAAATAGTTCTGCTGCACCTAGGAACACAGTTTCAGATGGGAAAAGCCCTATCCGCTATTTTAAATGGAGAAACTACTAAAAACTCTGACATGTGCATTATCTGAAATCCACAGCTTTTATCATACATTCCCTAGCACCTGAAAGCCAAGATTATTTTATTTAATGGTGACCTTTGTGGTGAATCAGAATCATTTAGTGTGTAGAAAATGGAGAAAGCAGGAAAGTGTTTCCTAATGGCTCAGGCTCAGGCCCATAGGCTGGAGGAAATCACCTTTTCCTTAAATTGACCTATAAATATTCAGGCTGAGTGGTGAGTTAGTGGATGTTTGTTTACCATCTATAGTTGAATAGCAAATTTTCTACAACCGAGAGTCAAATTACTGTCCTGCAAACTCGACTAGACTTTGTTAAGGCTTGCATTTTTCCATTGTGGTTTATTTGTAATGTTTAGGATGTTTTGTTAGCTTGCAGCCTCAAAAACGTTCTCTTTCTGTAAATTCTCTATTTTTCAGGCCTAAGTGGTTGCCAAGCTCCCATTTTCTTCTTTCTCTTTGAGTCAATTAAGTTTTTTTTTTTTTCCTCTTTCCTCCAGATACCTGGTGGAAAAGGGAAAAAGTGAAAAATCACACCACCCATTTTGCAGTTTGCTGTGTACTTTGATTTAAAAGATGACTCTAGGTTTTGCATCAATGATCAGTGTGGAATTCTGGAATTCTCTGGATCTTATCTTTCTAGAATCTCTGTCTATCCTATTAGTTGGATTATTATCAATTCGCCTATCTAAGATTTCATCTGCTATCTGTGACCATTCCCCACTCAGTTCCTGCCATAAAATCTTTCCTGACAATCTGTTTTGCTTCTTGTGGTGTTGGAAAAACTACTTTCGTTAGGTAACAAAGGATACAGTGCTGAGAAACTTTATCCTCTAGCATCATAATTGTCAAGGATTTAGCTGTTTAAAATCATCATCAGTGAGAAAGGACATCCCACACTTGCCTGGAGGATGAGAGCTGTGTAAGTCACTTCAACGCTGAGAAGTAGCTATATATCCAATCCACTTATACATTTCAGATAAGGGATTTTCATGCATACAACATTGCACATTTATCTTAACTTTATAGTGTCCAGGGAAATAGGACCCTTAGTCTTTTTTTCAGCCTTGACCTGATAACTCCTTTACACACAGCTTTGCTCTGCACCTATAAAAACACTTCTTCATTTTTATTTTACCTAAATTTCTTCCTTTACAAATCCTTCCCTTCTTTATGGAAATGCCCAGTGGTTCTGGCATTTGGGCTCCTCTGTGCCAGCAAGTTAAAATAAGCCTGTCTTCCCCCAGGGTCTTTATTGGATAGGCTTTCTCACTCTAAATGAGTCTGTCTATTTACTTATTATTTTCCAATTATATGCTTATTTATACACATTTCTCCAATTAGACTGAAAGTAGTCTCAAGCATAGCATCCACATTCGTCAGTTTATATTTTCAAACCACACTTAAAATAACACTTGGTACATGGTAGTCATCTAAATTATGTATGAATAGATGAATACATGAACAGTAAGAAAGCATTTTTTTAACCTGAGAAATGGCAACTAAGGGTCCCAGGGCTAACAACACAGACTCCTGTTAATTTTGTTATACTCTTATGTACATCTTTGGTTGCTTTTTATTGAACTGTTCCATTTGGTGGTTAAAGTATCACTGGGGCAGGTTTTAAATTTTTTTCTAGCTATTAGTTTTACTGATTTATTAAAATAAAAACGTATTCGATTAGTAATATGTCTTATTACTAGAGTCTGTTGAATTATTTCAAAGTGGTCCATTCTGTGCTAGTTTCTAACCAATATCAGAAGCATAACGGCAATGAGTACATGAGAAAGAGGCTTCGAACAGCTTTAGACAGGTTGAGCTTTCAGGGATGAAGAACTCCTGTATTTGCTTTGGCACTAAATGGTTCTTTCTTTCTCCTTCCTCCTCTCTCCCTTCCTTCTTTCTTCTTCTTTTTTCCCCGAAATACAGCTGTGTAAGGTCTTTTAGAGCTAGTGTCAGCAATCTACAGCCTACCGCCTGTTTTTATGAATACAGTTTTATTGGAACACAGGCATGTTCATTCATTTACATACTATCTCTGGCTTCTTTCAAAATATAATGACAACAGAATCATTACATGGTTGTAACAGAGACTATGTAACTCACAAAGCCTGAAATTTTTGCTATCTGGCCTTTTATAGAATGCACATGTATTAAATGAAAAATAATGATTTTAAAGTATAACATTTACTTTTAAAATGCAGATGCATAGAAGCACTGATTATGCATGTATAATATTTTATAATACTTTCTTAATTATATTAACATAGTTTATTAAATAAATTGATTAAAAATGAACAAAAACTTAATGCAGAAAGTTTTCCCATGAACATAAAGAAACATGTCCATTTTTATGTAGATACCAACCAGCAAATCTCTTCTTTTGTTGAAACCTAAGGTGGTGGCTATTGCTAAAAATGATCCTGGACTGTCCTCACTCCCCTTCTCCCTGTTGGATTTTATCCGTGATTTCCTTACCTGGTACCAGGAGTATGCCCGGTCTGAAGGGTCAATAAGAATCGTGATGATCTTGGCTTTGGGAACCAGAGAAGCTGCTCTTTTAGGGGCTTCCTCTGAGTGGAAGTAATTAGCACTCTTCTCAAACAAAAAATCAGTGGTGACATTAGACGGGACTGGGAAGAAATCCATATACCTAGAAAAGGAATATTTTTCTCAAAATAAGACTCTGGTTTATATGTGTATCCTGGTGACTGAAGATGTTAAAGACATCCCACAAATTCATTTATCTCCTAAATGAATGACTTTTCTTCAGGCATTTGTCCCACATAGTTAGCAAGGGAAAAATAGCCAGAACACTAATAATTGTAATTTTCAAAATGCATTTTCTTTTTGTTTTGCTTCGTATCTGGAAAAATAAGGTATGGCAGAGAATAAAAATGTAGACACATAATGACGAAACCACAGCAATAATCACCCTAACTACATCAAATGTGTCTATGTGCAGAAACAGTGGACAGAGAAAAAAGGTAAGTACTCGGACAAAAAGAAAATCCGATAAAAACAAATTATATGTTCAGTTCAAAGACTTTTTTTTTCTTTTTTTTTTATTGAATAGTAACTATGTATATTAATGCACTTCTGGGGTACAGTGTGGGGTTTTCACACACAATCCGAAACACTTCCATCAAACTCAGTTCAAAGACATTTTAAAGGGATTTAGACAAAACAGTTTTTAGTTTATCACAAGTAGAATAATTTCCTTCCCCCAATGTGTTGTGGCAATGAGATATTTAACCCTATAGTGTCAACATGCAGAACGTCTCTAGTATAAATACTGCCTATTTACCCAATTTTTTTCATATAGAACCACTTATGTCCGTCTTTAGAATAATTATTATATAAGAAAAGTCTAAAAAGTATGTACATATTTCCAAATATAAATCCTATCAAATTTCCCCAGGTCAGGTCACATCCTTAAGAGAGAATCTGAATCACCAGCAGAGTAAACACAGGGATATCTGTAGGCCTAAGCACTGAAATGTAGGATTTTGTTTAATGTTCCCCCTTTATGAAAGTTGTCAAATATAACTAATTCAGCATATAATAATAGATTTTTTCTGAAGCCCTAAGGGATGTCTTTTAGAGGAAAAGGCTTTTTTTAGAGAATGTAAAAATATAACTTCTAGGGATTCTTACATTTTATAATAACAGCCTCAGCCCCTACTGCCATCCGGTTCAATTCATAAACCACCATGACTTTGGGCTACCAAGACAAAGTTGTGCCATAATTACTAAGGGAAAGAGTCATTAGCTTTCATGACTTTTTACACTGCATTGTTTTCTTTTGAATGAAAGATCACATGACACTATCAGAGACTCAACTGCAAGATCATGTCATCTCACATGATAAAGATTCTGGAAGGATCTGGTTATTAACACAGTGTAAAGTTTAGCTGGTGTAATAAATTGATGTCTTGAGACTCAGAGCAGTAAAGAAGTCCGTTTATGTTTTCTGGGAATTGCCTTGTTGGTGATAGGTAATTCTGGCACCCTTGTAAGGGGAAAGAGATAAACAAAAGTTTTTGGGAAATTTGATTTGCTATCTGTTCTGCTGTACCTTCTATTTCTAGAAAGTGCCAAATTTGGGCAGGAGAGGGAGGGAGCTGGGAGCAGGGAGGAGGGGGGATGGGCGTGCTCCCACTTAATGGCCACAGTATTAGGGTATATGGCACATCGCTTGGGGGCAGGACACAATTATAAGAGGGACTTTACCTAACACATGCAAACATTGTAACCTAATTCTTTCTACCTTCAATTAACCCGAAACAACAACAAAAAAAAAAAATGCCAAATTTCAGGATACATATTTAGAAGCTCACAGTGGTTCCAGGGGGGAGGTTATCTGAGTGTCTAGTCACAAGTGGTATCCTATTTGTCCCAAGCTCCCACCCCGTCCAGCATGCTTACTCTGAAAAAGGCTTCAAAACCACAAACACACAAAAAGGGCATAGATTTTAGCTTTTAAAAACCACCCCATCTTCCTAGAAGTCTTTCATATCTGCAACAGTTTAGACTTTAAAGACCTCTTCAAGCAGGTCTGGATCTTGGACTTACAATGTGTTGACTTTGCCTGTCCCTGGAGCCTCACAGAGAAGGCAGGGCCCTGTTCTTGTTTGCCTATATTTCTGTGTTACGGCGGCTGGCACTAAGGCACTTGAAAAGTGTTTGGTCAATAAATAAGCAAATAAAAGGAATCCAAGCTCATATTTGCAGGGTGGGACACAGAAACTCCCCAAATAGGCTCACATTTGGAGAATATGTATTCAGGTTATTCAAAGAAATTGGTGAGCAAACTAGAGCAGTTTAATAATTGGGGGGTTAAAAGTCAATGCCCGCCTCCCTTAAGTTTGCTGCAGCCATAAAAACACAGCACTTCAGCTTTTTTGCTTTTACCTGAAAGATGTGAATTTTTACAATACTCTATATTTATTTGTTATTTGGATTGACCCTGAGTACTTCCTACTGATTTTACTGAAAGCCGGATTAAGATGTTTAGATAGGTTTTAAATGCTAACAGGACTTTATAGCTTTCCATATACCACTCTGAACCTCCACTACATCCTTAATTAAAAATAATAAGGCCAGTTCAGTGTGGTGTCTCACATCTGTAATCCCAGCACTTTGGAAGGAGAAGTGGGAGGGCTGCTTGAGGTCAGCAGTTTGAGACCAGTCTGGGCAACAGAGTGAGAACTAACTTGTCTCTTAGAAAAGAAAACAAAAGAAAAGGAAAGGAAAAAGAAGGGAAGGGAAGGGAAGGGGAGGGAAAAGAAGAAAGAGAAGAGAAGAGAAGAGAAGAGAAGA